TCGGCGATTTGTGATCGCCGGCCATGGGGCATGTTGGGGTTCAAAACGAATCGACTTGTCGTTTGCGAGCCTTCTTTCTTCGAGATTTTTTTAAGTCAGTTCGATGGTGGCGGCGCTGCCATGGCCCCTTCTCCTGATCTCGCCGACGATCTCCCCTTCCTCCGCGTCCGACTCGTCTCTGCCAGGATCTGATTCTGAATAGAGGAGGGGTTCATGATTTTGGGGGTTTTTACTTACTGGGCTATAATAATGGGTTAATTTCCATTTGTCTAGAAGTTTATGGATGGCCCAATTCTGTAAATTGGAAGAAGAAGAAGAATAGAAAGAGAAGAAAAGGAATGAAAATTTTGAAAAAAAGAAAAAAACTAAAAACCACCCAAATAAAATGGAAACACCGGTTACTGGTATAAAATAATTAAAAATTTGAAAAATGGGTATAAATGAAAATGAAAAGGAGTATAATTGTTTAAATAGTGACCAAAGGTTTTGTTGAAAAATGTGTACAGGAATAGTTAGAGGGCGTCAATTTTTCACAACCTTTAACAATTACGAAACGAAGAAAGGACAGAAATTAAATATATTTAATATTCGTAATTTGTCAATAATCGAAATTAAATATTAGTATGTATGTAAATATGCTGGTAGCTTTTACAAAAAATGATGAACAGAGGATCAGTTGAAAATAGCAAAAAAAAGTTACAGATTGGCCAACTATTTACCAACTATTTAACTAGATACCTAATTCCTTTTTCAGCTTTGCAAGCGTAGCTTCGATTTCATCAATGTTCTCCTCAAGACTGCTACTTTGTCCAACCGGGCTTTCTCTTTTCTCTTCCGAAGGGCTCGTGAAAGTATTTTCTTGACCAGTCTCCTCGTTTGGCTCGGTCACCGAATCCATAATGTTGAGTTCCTTTTCAAGGTACTCCACAAATTCTTCCCCGATTTCCTGCAGAGGGCAAAATGACATAATCAGATAAGCTCGTTCCAAAATGTGATCCATTCAAATTCAGATGAATATTATAATAAAATTTTCTTCG